GGGAAAAAAGTCATTACCACCACAGACTTCATTTCCCAGCAAATCTTTCCCTTTGCATTGCTGTAACAAATGATTGCAGCAGCAAACTTACCAAATTAGGTTACAACAAACATCACAAGCAACAAATTAACCTACAATAATGAATATAACAAGTATCAGAGGTTGTTTTTGAATAACAAATTAGCAGCGGTTTCTGATGCAGAGGTGAAAACAAATCACTCTAAACAATAAGCAAAAGCAGTAATTAAGTGGGACAAACAGTTCTATTGTCAGAGGAAATTCCCTTCTAACTCCTGCAACACTGCTTAACTCTCACATCAAAACTGCAGACAAAGCTGAAACCATGTAAAACTCTATGAGACTGAAAACCATCCATGACAGATCCAAGGAATTCAGGCTCTCTAAAAAAAGTCTTAGTTCTGAAGTCAGATACCTAAAGGCCATTTGAAACAATACTGCCTCTCCCCTACAGTCAGTTATGCCTTCCTCTCCCTCTCAGTCTCATGCAAAAACATCCAACGACCAAAAAAACCCCCAAACCTACCACCATCTGTCATCAAAAAGTCTTGGTTTTATTTACACTCATTGGCTGCTCTGAAAAATGACAACTGAAAATGCTTCCAGCCAGCTAAGGAATAAAAGACCTCATTTTTTACCAGAAGAGCTTACAGAATTCATTTTCTTCTGTTATGTAAACAGAATTGAACACAAATATTTTGAACACAAGATTTTTCTTCCATTCCCTGTAGAAGAATCAACTTTGGCTATCCTGCATGAAAAAGAAATGAGCCTCCAATGAGATTTCCAACACTGGGCTACATTCCAACAGATTCTTATTTGCCTGTTGAAAAACTAAGTTGCTGTAATATCCAAGTTGGAAAAAAATCTACCTTTTTTCATTGTTTAGATCTTTGTGGTATCAACATTGACTGTTAGGTGCTGCATTTTAAGGAGAGTGCTTCAATTAACTTCAGCTCTCATCTGCTACTTGATAATTACTGAGAAATTTGTCTAGACTACAAAAAAAAAAAAAAAAAAGAAGTGTTGTAATCAGCAGCATCAGTGATCTTGGAATTCTTGCTTCTATCAAGAACAGGAGGCTGAGCAGAACAAATGAAGGTGACTAGTCCTACTTTAATCCATCTCTAACAAGAATTCCTAGGGAAATAGTCTGTAGCCTTTCATGAGGGTATAAATACCTGAAAAAAAATCTGTAAATTAACATAACAAGACAGGTAAGTCTCCTGCAGACTAAGTGCTGTCACATCAGCAGGACAGGGAACAGGTGCCTCAAGCCTCACAACTGGGAGCTGCAAGACCGTGACAAGGATTTTGAAGCTGCAAGGGGAATAACTGGGAAGTCAGGAGGGAATTTTCAAATCCAAAACTAAATTCTTTTAAGCTCTAGCAAGTGACAGCTTTTAAAGCAGAGGAAGAGGCAGCAGCAGCTGTGCCCAGCCCCTGGCAGCAGCAGCAGACTGGAGTTACTGGAACAGGCTGGAATAAACCAAGGATATCTGTGGCTGACTGAGACAGACAGACAGTTTTCCCAAACTGTCTGATTAGCTGCATGAATAGATACACCTCTATAATGAAATGCAACTGGAATCATAGGAATGATGAAAACAGTCCTTTTCATTGCTTCTTACAGCACAAAGGAGCTCAGTGGGGCTGACTGAGGGCATCAGCACAGCACAGGCCCCAGCTGGGAGATGCACTCAGTGCCACTGGCCAAGTACAGCAGCTCAATTCCAAAACCCAAATGAGGCACTTGGATGCTATGCCAACAGCATTAATGGATTCAGGAATCACCTGAAAGCCTTTATATAGCTTCTTCACACACACAGTGAGAGCACAGAATCAGAATGTGGCAGTAATTGCAGGTTTACTGCTCACAGGGCTAAATCTGCACACAGTGAGGGAAGATTCATGCACTGCATTCCAGCATGGCCTGTTCAAGTGGCAGAATAATTCAAATTTATTCCAGCCCTTCTAATAACTTCAACAGACTGTTGAATAAAATATTCAGCTCATGTACAGTGTACTGGGCAGTCAATTTACATCTTAGTTCCTGGCAGAAAGAGATGAAAAGCAAACCCACAGCCAGTTCTCCCTGCAATAACTTACATCAAGTTTCATCAAGGTTGAAAGGTCTTTCTTTGCTGCTTCCACAATGGCATCAATATGTTTGGTGTTACAGGAATCCTGCACATCACTGTAATGGAAAACTGCTGAAGGAGTTTCTGTCACTGTCACAGTCTTCTTCAATATTGACTGTAAAGAGCAGAGGCACAACAAAGGTTGGTTTAGATGTTGGAATTGGCACCTTCACAGTCAAAATTTGCTGTATCATACGTGTTTTTACCCACCACAAGTCATGGTCTGTTAAAAAAAAAATAAAATTCAACCAACAAATCTAGGTTTTCCAAGAAGCAACAGCTTGTTAACTTGATTATCCTTGTGTTTTTCTGTAAAGCCTGACACTTGAGTCAAAGTTGCTCATCACAGCTTTGAAAGGGAAGAATAAGAAACCTTTCAGAAACAGGGCAGCTACCAGCTTGAAGGAGCTGAACCTCACCAGCACAAAGATGGAGAAAAAGATAAAATCTCTATCAAGGTCACATTGAGCCACAGTTTCCCTCCAGATTCTGTGCTGCAGTTTTAGAATTCAAGAGTGGTTTTGTGCTCTTTAACTCACAGGTCAGTGTTTGGAAAGAACAGAGCACAGAAAGAAAGTTATAAATAATGACTGGGAACCTACAGGAAGTTCACAGGCTGATACAGGTCTTTAATTCCTTGCTGCAAAGTATTTTTCACACACAACGGTCTGACAAATTCACCTTTGCAAATAATGCATTTCATGGGTCAGGGGAAGGCAATGCTTAAAACCAAGTTGCAGCAGTTGCTTGTCAAGGGAATCTCCACAGAATTTCAAGATCTGCACTAAAAACCCTTAACAGTCTCCAAAATCTACTGAAACTAAGTTAAAAAACATGAATACAAAAAAGCATTTACGGCCAGGTTGGACATGGCTCTGAGGAAACTGATCTGAGGAACTACCTTTTTTGGGTTCAGATTTGGGTTCAGATTGAAGGAGGGGACATTTAGGTTAGATATCAGGAAAATGTTTTTTGCAGTGAGGGTGGTGAGACCCTGTCCCAGGTTGCCCAGGGAGGCTGTGGCTGCCCCAACCCTGGCAGTGTTCATGGCCAGGTTGGCTAAAGCCTTGAGCAACCTGCTCTGGTGGGAGGTGTCCCTGCCCAGGGCAGGGGGTTGGGACTAGATGACCTCTAAGGTCCATTCCAGCCCTTAAATTCTATGATGCAGTTGAAAACATCCCTGCCCATCACAGGGGTTGGACCTGATAGCCTTCAGAGGTCCCTTCCAACCCAAACCAGCCTGGAGACCAAACATCCCAATTCATACAGAGCTGCAAGGGTTTCAAAGGAAGGAAGATAACATTTACATGACTCCAAGAACCATGTAAGGAAGTACAAGACAAGAACCACACTGGGCTCCCCAGAGGGGCACACAGACCTACCTTGCCCACCACAGGGCTGCTGGCAGTGTCCTCAGAGACAAGGTGCACCCTGGCCCTTTCGTAGGCCATGTCCATGTCTGACTTGGCACTGCTGGAGTTATCTGCAAGCAATGTAAAAATCTCTTTTTAAACACCTCCTTTATCGCAGTTACTCAGGTAATACACAAAGAGGAGCAACTTCTTGTTTGGTTTCTTGTTTCTGAAGCTGAGGAGAAAATAGAAAGTGACATCCTCATATTGCTACTGATTTCCTAGTTGCCTTTGGCCTGGAAGGTCTGATGGGAACTTTAAATCTTCTCATCTGAACATGTCCAAAATTCCCACATCCATTACTGTACAGGGCACAGCCATCATTTTGGGGCAGACAAAACAGAGTCATTTGGATCTGAAGATAATCAGGAAGGAGCAAATCTAACAAACAGATTTTCCTCACTCATTTTAGAAAATGCTTCCTATTAACCTTTTCTCCACCAAACAAAGGCAATTTTTGTACCCAATGAATTGCAAGAGCTTTCATAAGGAGAACACTATGATCAGCAACTTCTTAAGGTCTCTCCATACAAAGCATTTTCCCTGCAATGCCTAAACAATTTTGTATCTTTTCTACAACTTATTCCATTGTAGTGCTGAGAGTTCCATGAGAAATTCCCTTACAGGTCTCACTTCTTTAATTCATGAATTTGAAGTCATTACAACTTCCATTCCTTTACTTCGCAGTTGTAATAGATCATAATTCCATTAGCTCCTTGGCTGTCCCATCCACCTTCCAGGACATTCTCTGTGCTAATCATAATGCAAACACAACTGGGAAACTCTTCCAGTTTAAACATCTCCTATGCAAATACCCTGAACAGGATTCTCACATATGAGCCTGAGGATTTACCAAGTTTAAGGATCATGAAGAAATTGCAATTTCCTTCAGCAAATAAACATAAACATTTATATCCTATTCCTATGCCTCGTACATATCCAAAATAGACTATTCAGAAAAGTTTACATTTTCTCTCTGACAATTTTCCCTTCTCTCACTACATTGTTCTTATACTTTTGCCTTTATAAATACAAA